ATAGGCACCTGAGCACATGCACACACACACTCAGATGTACCGCTCCCATATGCGCCCACATCTGGGTCATGTCCCCATATCGCAGACTGGCTCAGCTGAACAAGCACTGGCGCCAGTGACCCTGGTGCTCCCCTCCTGCCAGTGACCAAGGGCACTCCATCAGGTCTCAGGCCCCCGCCTCATGTCAGTGGCTGTCATGGCCCCCCTGCTGCCCTGCACATGCTTCCTCTTCCAGACAGTCCATCATTCAGGCTTTCTGAAGGGCGTCCAGCTGGGTGTCCTCAGGCCCAGGGCTAGATGTGTCCAAAGACTCTTTGAACCCAGGTCCTTCACCTGCCAGGTTCTCACTGTTAAGAGATCTTCATGTTCGCTCTAGCAGCTGCTCCTCACCATGGCCTCTCTCAGTCACTCCTGTCACGCCAGATAAAGTCATTGAGTTTTTAGTCACACGAGGATCAGTTCACTCCTTGCAACCATAAAGTCATCCCCTTCAGTGTCACCAGCTTTGTCCTGACTTTGGAGGTGCATTTCACAGGATCAGCACAGCCAGAGTGGAGAATGGCACAGGGGAGGAAAAAGTGTACAATCAGCATGTGTGGTCCAGCTGAAATCCCTCCTCCTGCAAATACACACCACTGGTGTCCAGCCTCTCAGCAGTCCCTCCCCAGACTTTGCAGGGAGCCGCAGCTTTGAGTCCTGCACACACACTCTCACATCCTCACCCATCATGTGCACTTCTCCATGGGTTCAAACTGGTGTCCGAGATCTCAGAAACGCCCATGAGCACACTCAAACCTGTGTTCGAGCAGCCGGGTCCACACCAGCAGGTGCACACACAGCCCCAGGTGTGCCGACGCCCATGCTTGCCCTCACCATCTTTGTTGCTCGCCCCACCCCAGAATCAACCTGCCACTGCTGGACCGCACGATCCCCGACTATACCAGCTTTAACACAGTGGACGAGTGGCTGGAGGCCATCAAGATGGGACAGTACAAGGAGAGCTTCGCCAACGCTGGCTTCACCTCCTTCGATGTCGTGTCGCAGATGATGATGGAGTAAGTGCCCAGCACCTCCCCCCACCTTTGACACCCCCCCCCAACTCATCCCACAAGCAGGAGGCTCTGGATGGTGTGGGATTAATGTCCCAGCGGGGATGTGGGGGACCAAGGGGTGTCGTAGCCAACTTTGGAGTCCCATTCAGGTTGACACCCAGGCCTGCCTGTCACCCACAGGCTATGCAACCTTGGGCCAGTCTCAGAAATGCACTCAACCCCGCATTTTCTTTAACATCAAAGGAGATAGAAAGTGAGTGGGCACTTAGCAGATGCAGGCTCCCTTCCCTTTCCCTGGCAGACCAGTACACCAGGCCCCCTGACTCCCAGTCAAGTGCTCCTCCCCCATCTCAGCATCACTGACTCCAGCTCAGGACACCCACCCGCTCTGCCCCATCCCTGCCCCTCCCCTGCTCTCTTTGGCAGGAAACCCCTGGAGAAGCCCAGGTAGCTGTCTACCTGGCCCGAAGCCCCCTCCACCCCCATGGCCCCCTAACACACGTGCTTCTCTCCCAAAGGGACATTCTCCGGGTTGGGGTCACATTGGCTGGCCACCAGAAAAAAATCCTGAACAGTATCCAGGTGATGCGGGCACAGATGAACCAGATCCAGTCTGTGGAGGTTTGACCTTCACCTGCCTCGGCTCACCTCCTCCTCCAGGCCCACCCCCTCCGCCCCACGCACCCGCCCCCAGGTTCTCCGTCCACCGCAGGGTCGGCCGCCTGCCAGGAGGCCGCGGGCAGCAGGAAGAACCACGCCGCGCTCTAGTCGGGAGATGTTACCAAGAACACGTGCAACGCAGATCACAGAAAAAAGGGAAAGGGAACAAAAGAAATCAGATCCTGGGAGGGGGCGGGACCCACAGGACTACTTTTCAAAGAGGATTCTCATAAGGAAAGCGGTCGTTGTTCCTGGGGAAAGAAGGGCTTGGGAGATCCACTGCGCTGTCCAAGGGGACACCCACTGCAGCTTTTCTCCAGCTTCCTCTGGGACGGTGACCTGGCCAGAGCCAAGAAACACTTTCAGGAAAACAAACGTCAAGGGGAAATACACCCTTTTTATCTGTCCTGGCACCGCTCTTCCAGGCCTCGCTTCACGGCCACGTGCCAGGCCAACGGGCGACGGACGGACCCACGGACGGACACGTGGGCGGCCACCCAAGCGCCGCTCTGGGAGGATGCGTTCCTGGTGCCGCAGGGCAAACAGAAGAATTTTTCTATCTTTGGAGAATATTTTGGACACTTCGATGAAAGAGACTTGTTTCTCCTGTCAGCTCAGGGGGCTGAAAGGGAGCTTTGGGCCTCTTGGGTCAGGGAGGCCGAGGGACACCACAAGGTCAGCCTGGCCAGGGCTGGCCGCCCCCGGGTCTGCAGCTCCGTGTCCGGATCGCACGTGGGCCCACTCCCACCAGCCCCCACCCAGAGGATTGATCCGCGGTCACTGCCACCAGCTTCGACTGCCATTGATCCTGCATCTGGGTGTGTTTACAGCGATTCGTGGATTCGGGAGTATTTTGGTCAGGGGTGGATTCGGTTTGGGGGGTTTGTTGTTTGTTGTTTTTTTAAGACAATGAAGTGACAATTTGACATTTCCTACCTTTTGAGGACTTGATCCTTCTCCAGGAAGAAGGTGCTTTCTGCTTACCGACTTAGGCAATACACCAAGGGCGAGATTTTATATGCACATTTCTGGATTTTTTTATATGTTTTCCTTGACACCCTTCCCTCCCGCCTCCCACTGCGTAGAGTGCCCACCTGCTGCCAGGCCTCACCAAAGCCAGCTGCCAGGGGCCATCTGGGCCATTCAAAGACTGGGTGAGATCTGGGCGGAGGGTGAGGGGCGGGTGGAGGAGCACCCACCCAGGACTGTTGGTGAAGGCAACAGATTGAGAAGGAGGTGGCCTCAGAGCTGCAGAGCCACTGAGCTTGGCCACTTCTCCACTCTCCTTCTGCCCTGGTATATTCCAGAACTTTCCCGGCAAATAGGCCCCTCCGAGATTCCTGAGTGCCCTCAGATGACCAGAACCCAGTTTTGCCTCAGCCAGCACCCCGCTGGGGCAGAGGCCAGGACCCAGATCATTCACTGTGATACCCAAGCCCACCAGAGCACCACCCTCAGAGACACAGGCAAGCGCCTCCCCTTTCCTGGGGAGAAAGCGTTTGGTTTCCTTCCCACCTCGTTGCTTCCACCAGACCTTGGCCCAGGTGTGAAGATCCTGACCATGAGGGAACCTCCAGCCAGGAGGTCTGGCCACAGACCCCTTCGTGTGAGCAGATGCAGGCACCTGAGTGGAACAACGCTAGTGCACTGAATGGAAATAAATGTGTTAGTTATAAAACCACCCCTGTTCTCTGGAAGTTCCACAGGCGACCCTGACACCTGAGGCATGTCAAGTGGCCATTGATGCTCTTCTAAGCAACCCTTCCTTCCTCAGGTTTCTAGAAGGCCAGGGTTGAGAAAACACACAGAGGACACAAAGGTCCTCGTGGTCTTTCTGCCTCTGACTTATCAAAAGCACAGGCAACGGAAGAAGTGAGTTGGAAGTGTCTTGGAGAGTGACGTTCAATGCCTGCAAATCGGGGGGAGCTGGGGCAGGTCGCGTCGGGAGCAGGGAGTCGGTAGGGGTGCCCTCCACTCTCCTGGCCCAAGGCAGAGGTCCAGGAAATAGGTGGGCTGTGACCATAGGAGCATGAGGGTCCTGGTGCATTTATGGACCCCCAGGCAGAGCCACCAGTGTGCTCACCTTCTGCTGGTCGACTAGCCTTTGTGCAAATGGGCTCCTACTCATGTACAATCGGGATTCTTTGTGAGGGAGGAGGCAGAGAAATGGACGTGCTGCAAATATAAGTAGCTGCAGAGGGGGAGGTGGGGATGTATCCTCTTGGGACCTTCCCTTGTCTGTGGGAAACTGACCAGAAGGAATGATTCAGGCTGCCACTGGGCAGCTGAAGGCCCCTCAGTCGGAGGAGGGTCCAGCATGGACCAGCCTGTCGTCTGTCACTCACCTTTTCTTCAGAGCCTGAGAGGCAAAGGCAAGGAAGGGATTAGAGGGGAGCATGGGCCCAAGGAGGTGGGGGGGGACAACAAAGTGAGCCACAGGGAAGGCCTGGGCGGGTTTCCCATGAACTGGCCAGCATGGCCTAGCCAGCCATCCTTTGTGCCCCAAAGATGCCCAGCACGGGTGGCAGCTGTCCCCGCACACAGGTCACCTTCTGGAGGGAGCTGCCCTGATGCTTTTTAGATTAACTCTGTCTCCCCAGTGTGTACCCCAAGGCTCCAGGGCCCTGCAGGGGGCTGGCACATGGTGCTTCCTGTCAGATGGTTTCCTGTCCTAAGCCACAAGGCTGGTGTCTGCTAGCCAGCACGTCTGCCCAGCCACCCTCCAGGGTGCGAGTCCTCAGGGATCCTGGGCCCCCACATGCCAGCTTAGTATAAAGGTGCCACCCACACCCTCCGTGTCTCCACTTCAGGGTAACAGACAGCCGTCACTGTGACCCTCCCGGGGTACGGGCAGATGCCCACCGCGCCTCACTGCCGGGCAGCTCCCCACCACCTCATGCTTGCTTCTCGGCGGGAAGTGGCGGTCATACTGCCAAGCGCCTTCCACGGACGCTGCCCACTCGCCCAGGCACACGGCTCTGAGCCACCCGCTGCCTGGTTACTAATCCTTTCCTGGCTCAACCTCCCCAAGTGCCAGCCCCCACCTGCCCAGCAGTGTTAGAGGCGTTTCCGGCTGCTCTGCACAGTTGGTACTTGAGGAAAGAAAGCTGCCTTGTCCACATGGGCCAGGGCACCATGGAAATGAGGAGCAGCTGCTGGGAGAGTGTGTGACAGGCAGATGAGCTCAGGCCAGGCTGGGTAACAGAGCCGCGCCATTGCTCTGACCCTCCTGCCCCAGAAACCCCCCAGATGGGTCATTGTTCCTGATCAGCAGGCCTCTTCCTGGGGGTTGATATTCAAAATATTTATCAACTGGTCAGACCAATGAGAATCAAGGGTGGCTTTAGTGTTAGACCTAACGGCCTCCGAGCAGGGGGTGGCAGGCCAGTCAGAGACACTCGGGCAGGCCAGTGGCCATTTACTAACCAGCAGTGCCTCCTGCTCACCTGGCATCAGCAGGATCTCCCATCACTCCTGTCTGGCCCCACCCTGCCACCTCTTAGGGGGCTCTCTGCTGTGCCCTTGCACAGCCACTAGCCTCGCACCCCTCTCAGATCAGGAGCTCCTCGCTAGAAGGCTGGGAGTTCCTGCCTGTGCCCAGTTCTTCCTCATCCCTGGCTGAAGCACCACCGCCCACCCTATCACCAGGCCCTCAGCCCATCCTGACTCTCCACTGGGCCCCAGTAGTTCCAAGGTGGCAAAAAGGCCGGAAGACTCTTGCCAGGGAGAATCGAGTAAATGCCTCAGAGGACAGGGCTGGATGTGCCGGATGCTAGGGGAAAGTCCACTGGAGCCGCAGCCTTGCCAGGGCCACTGCTTGAAACACAAATCTGGGCCATAGGATCGGACTGGGCAAGTCAAGCCTGCAAAACACTACAGTCCTGTGAGCAGAAATTGTTTTGTCCCATATGTCAAGGCAAACCCGCTCAGAGAGGTGAAGACGCTTGCTCAGGATCACACAGGCAGGAAGGGGCAGAGCAGGTCTGTGGTTTATCTGCTTCCAGTGCCCATTCAATGAGAAGACATGATGCCCTCAGTGTCTGATGCTGGCCGCTAAGAGAGGGAAGGTTGGAATGAGCTGAGGTTGTCAGGGAGGGCTTCACGGAGGAGGCAGTCTTGAAAATGATAGAAGTTGAGAGAAAGGTCAATCCAGGTGAGAGGTACGGTGTTACCAAAGATGCAGAGACCAGAACGGTGCAGCAGTGAGGGGTCTTACCTGGGTGAGCCAGAGGAAAGGTGGGAGGTGGGGGCTGGCTGAAGGGGAGGTGGAGGCAGTGGACATGATGCACTGTCCAGCCACAGCAGGTTCTTGAGCAGAAGAGGGGCAGCATGAGCACTGGGCTCCAGCAGGAGGAGATGGTTCAGCCATCACATGGGAACAGGAGGCCTGATAGCTCCCTGGTCCCCTGGGAGGAGAGCCCCCTGGAGAAGCCTCATTTATTCCAGAGCATCCACGCCCTGCTGCTCCGTTTTCCATCCTCACTCACTGATGCAGATAATCCAAAGAGGCATTTCAGCTGCTTGGAACAGCAGGGGTGGACTTTGTGCTACCTGACTCTTAATTCAGCTGCATTTGACTGATGCCCCTCCCATTTCTTCCAGGCCTCTCGGGGCTGCCAGGGCCTAGATGACCAGAACTGAATAGATGTGGGTGGTGGTGCGGGCAGGCAGAACCCCTGCTGGTGTGAGCAGGAGCTGGGGGCTGACTGGGGGGTTGGGGGGGTTGCAAAACTGCTCAGGAAGCCCCTCTGCCCCTGGAGAGGTCAGCCAGACATGCTGGCAGGAGCCTGGGGTCCCACCCTTCTCAATTGTGTGTTACGCTGGAGAAACCCAGAGTAAAGTTGGGAAGCCACCCGACATGTGCATCCCACTCGCCAGCCTTGGCCCAACCTCCCATGAAATGGCTTCTAAAACTGAGAATGGAGAAGGGCCTCAAAGTTGGCCAGTTTGCCCTTCAGGGAAACCACAGTCAGTGTCGGACCCAGGAATTGACTTGGCCTTTGTTTTGTGTGGTGGAAAGGCTTAGGGGCGCCCACTGGCGGCCTATCTGGAGGTGGTGAGGGTGGGGGTTTTGACCCACAGGGGCTGCACGAATTGCTGAACACTTACATCCACCAGGCTCCGTGTGTGGGAAGCTGATGGGTGTTACCACCCCCACTCCACAGCGAGGAGCGAATCCCCAGAGGATTCCCACCCGCCGTCTGCCTTGGTGGTCCACCTTCCCACCTCAGAGTTGCTGAAAGCTGTGCCAGTCCACCTCTATCAGGATCTCTTGTTCAATGTTCTGGATCTGGGCTCCACCCCAACCCCCTGAATCAGAATCCCCAAAGCCAGGCCCAGGATTCTCGGTTTTTAACAAGCTCCTCCAGGAGATGCCCTCAGACACTGAAATCCTCCCGCATCCCCCGTGACATACTGCCCTGTTGTCTGCTGAGAGAGGCCTGGCGTAGACAGGGATTAGGAAAAAGCAGGACATCGCCAGATAAGATGCCCAAACTCAGACGTGGATTAGGACCCATGAAGTAGGAGGGCAGGGCTGACCCTCAGGAATGTGGTCAGACTGAGCTAAGCTTTCAGGAAAATTAGAAAGACACCCACACCCAGAGTCTGTCTGAGTTTAGCTTCACAGAAGACTGCCTCAGGAAAGCTGATTATCTCCAGAAGCAACAGGAGCTTAATACATCAGAGCCCACCCAGGGCACCCTATGGGAGACTCCACAGACCCCAAGCCTCACATCCAGGTCTGTTCATACAACGCTTGGCCAGGTGGGCCAGGAAAGGAGGGGGTGCAGTTAATGTTTCTAGCTGGACCTGGAGCTTCATATGCCCCCCATGCCCCATGCCACCCCCAAACCTTGCCACAGGGTTTTCCCTGAGGAGGAAGCAGGAATGACAGTGCTTAGCTCTCTCTGGGTCTTACAGCCCCTGCTAGCGGAGGGGCTCTAAGCACTGGCAGGGAAGGGGGCATCCGAGCCAGGACCACATACCTGCTAGAGGCCCTGCTGAACTAGAGTCCAGAAGTCTAACATTCCAGGGGTGAAAGATTCTAAAACCCCATAATTCTAAGATTCCAATGGAAGGATTCCATGTCTCTAAGATTCTGTCACCATATGATTCTCTGCTGCTTGAGATTTCAAGTCCAGTTGTTCATTGATGGTCCCCAAACCTGAGGCCCATACAACAAAAAAGCACAAAGAGAAGAAAGAGTTGCACAGGGAAACGGTTAACACAGACCCTCACAACAACTCCAACTTTTGAACTTGAGACAGAAGGGCCTGGGCAAAGACCAAGGCGCCTCTTGAGTGTGCTGCTGAACTTCTTCCTCTAGTAGCGTGACAGAACTACCCACACACCTGGCCCTCCCGGTGGCCAGGGGTCTAGCTGGCCCAGACTGAAGCTGAACAAAGCCCCATGCCGGCCACAGGGCCCACTGGCTCCTGGGCTACACAGTTCAGCGCAGGAGCCAGGTAGCGGCCTCCTTGGCTGAGTATGAGACGTGACTCCAGAGTGGGAACCCCCAGACTAGAAGAGGTAGGGTCAAGAGTGCTGAGCTGGCATACCACCCTCCTGTTCAGAGCCAGAGATTTAACCCTGGGCAACCGGGGGGTCTTGCTGCCAACCCCAGAGCCAGGTGTCTTCCCTCTGGCACTCGGGATGCAACTTCCTTGGCCACACATCCCAAGGGTCCCCTCACCCAATCCCATGGGAGCCACTGCCTACGGGATCTGGGTGGCCAGCCCAGGATGACTTCGAGAGCGTCATCTGCCTGGAAGGGGACTCCAGAGGGCAGGGGACATGAAGTCAAGCATCTGATGCTGGCCTAGGGTGAGCCTGTCAGGGACACTCCCTGACAACCAGCTTCTTTGGGCTCCAAAGAAGAGCAATTACTGGTTGGTCATGCCCAGCCCAAAATCTTAATCATAGCTGCTATTTCTTGAGTGCCAACAATGTGCCAGGCGCCGTGCTTACCTTTTTATACACAGTGTCTAGCTTAATCCCCACACGGCTCTGAGACAGGTGCAGTTATTACTCCCCCTCCACAGACTAGGAAACTCAGAGGCGTGTCGGGCGGCTTTCCCAGGTCACACGGTCAGTCACTGGTCTCGGACCCCAGCCTCGGCCCTTGGTCACTGCTATGCTGCTACCAGTGGTCCCCCTCAGCCCCTCTCCACTGTCAGATGCCTTGCCAGTCAAACCCCAGATTCCCCAGCAGGACTCTGCTTGGGGCACTCAGACACCCTCCGTGCCTGGGCCTCCCGGAGCAGCAGCTCAAGCCCTGGGGGGTGGGAGTGAGCACCTAGACTCCCCCCTGAGATGTCCACTCCTGCCGGGGCCAGGCAGGTGCAAGCTCTCAACTGGTGGGGTCGCACAGAACCTCATTTCCTCCAGTTATAAACATGGGTTTTCCTGACAATGTTGGGGGGTTGGAGAGCGATGTGGCTGGAGTTCTGATGCTGTGGGTCAGACCTGGCTTGTCCAGCCGTCCGCTGCTGTGACCAAGGAAATCTCACCAGCTGTGTCCATGAGCAATCCTGACCCCATTACTCCAATGCCTTTGTAGGAGTATTTTTAGCAGAACCTTTTTTTTTCCAAAATAAATGTGAATTGTAAAAATCATCACTTGGACTCACAGTATTTTTTTTCCCCACTAAGTTTCCCCAGGAAACAAATAGAGACCCCCAGCAGTCTTCAGCAGAGTTCTGAAGCACGAATAGGAGTTCTCCAGAGCCAGAGTTCTCCAGTCCCAGAATACTGGGATTGGGGTTGGAACCCCAGGGTGCTGAACTCCAGGGATGACTCCTAAGTCGAGGAACACCCATTCCTGTTGAGCCGTGCTGCCAGGCCAGAGTCCCAGTCTCTGCCTCTTGTTATCAGGGTATGTGGACCACTCAGTGCACCCACACTGGGCACTCGGGGGTGAGAGGTGAGGCTGGCACCAGGAATGCTGCAGTGAAGGGGACCCATGCCTGCACCGGTGCCATCCTCCACCCCCAAGACCAGCAGGGACTCAGGTCATTACAACTCAGGGCAGCAGGTGCAGTGATCACAGTGTTTCCTGCTTCTGGGAAGGGGGCAATTCACCCTGGAGGGGAGCCCCCAAGGATCCTGACTGAGGCTCTAAAGCATGACTGGGGGCTTTTCCAGGAAGTTCAATGTACCTGTAGAGGGAGCAGCAGATCCAAAGTCAACATTGATATAGCCTGAATTCCTGTGTAAGCAAGCACATCTAGAGACCTGGACACACAACAGAAGACACGCCTGCAAACGCACCTATGGACAAGCACACAGGAATGCATCCACAATTGTAACACTCATGTGTGCACACAGAAGTGCAGGCTCAGAACAAGATGTGTCTCTCTTGCTAATCAATAGGCCCCCGGGGGTGTGGTGCCAGCACATACTGGGCTTTAGAAAGTGGTTTTGAATGCATTGAAACCCCCGTGCTGCTTCACAGACCTCCCACAAGGACACTCAGCATGTGTGCATGGACTCTCATCCAGCCAGTTAAGCGCACAGACCATGGGTTCAGGCAGGTGACAGTTCCAATCCCACCTCTGCCACTAGTGCTGTGTGATGCTGGGAAATCACTTCACCTCTCTGAACATCAATGTCCTCAACTAGAAAATGGAGGTTCGGTCATTATTTACCAAACAATGGGTGATGGCCCACATGTGCGGTCAGCTCCCCAGGTGCTGGGGATAGAGCAATGAACAAAGCAGACAAAAACACTGTCCACTGGAGCGCATGGTCTTTGTGAAGGCAGGCAGACATTTGAACACAAATAATAGGCCAGGTGGGGATGAAACCATGAAAAAAAAAAATTGAGAAAGGGCATGGGGGTGGGGGTTCTCAAACTATTCTGCAATTATTCTAAGATCCCAGCGGTTAAAAGATGAAGAACATCCAGATTCATCGATGGTGATAGAATTCATAAGAGCAGTTACTTCTATGAAGCGGAGAAGGAAACTTGTCAAGGGCTGGATGTTTCACTTCTTGAGCCAGGTGATGGTTACACAGGTAAGTAAAGCAAGGGTAAAGGTTAGTATACTTTACACACATACTGTGTCTGTGGCACCCCTCGATTGACCAAAACAGGGTGGTCTGGAAAGTTCTATCACTGAGAAGACGGCATTTGAGTAAAACCTGAGGTTGGGGGAGCAACGGTGGGGTCCCTAGAGAAAGAACATTTCAGGGAGTGGGGACAGCAGGAGCAGCCCTGCAGCTGACTGTGTGAGAGATGCTACAGGGACGGAGAGCAGAGTGAGCAAAGATTCCCTCCATGGAACCACGCTGCCCCCTGGGGGCTGGGGCTGGTAATTGGCCAGAGCTGAGCCCCAGAGAGGAAGCTTGGTTTCCTGGGTGCTGGTGGATCAGAGTGAGCTTGTGACTCCCTGTCCCCAGCTCCCACCCCAGCTGACCCACATGGTGCCTTGGTGTGGATTAGACAAAGGTGTCCACTCTGGGGGCAGAGGAAGGGGATACAGATTTACACCTGGAACATAATAAGTGGCACGTGGGCTGGTAATTGGCGCCTACCAGTTACTTGGGCCTCGGGGTGCTGTTCTGGAAGCCGTCCACCCTGTCCCCTCTCTGGTCAAGGGATAGTGCCCTTTTCCCCGCTCCAAAAATACTTATCCCCCTCCCCACCCACCACAGGTTCTCCGTGAGTTTAAGCTTTGACTGCAAGAGCAGACTGCTGGCCTTTAAATCAGCTTCTGTTTTTCACCCGGCAAAATTCCCAGAGAGAAGAAAAAATACTAAATCCCAGGATTCCTTTTAAACAGAGGAGAGAAAAAGAGGATGAAAACCAAAGCAATTTAATATTTGATGTTCCCCTGCCCACTCTCATCTCCGTAAGAACAAACAGGATCATCAAGGCTCACTGGGGTTTACAGCAGCATTTTTAAACCATGGTGCTTGAGTTTCCACCCAGGGCTTCATGACCCTTGATTCCAGCAGCTGGGTATCCCTTCGGGTAACAAAGACTCCAAAACTTAGTTGCTTAAAACAACTACTATTCAATTAGTAACTATGAATGTACTGATGGTTCTCTTGTTTGCCATATTATTACTATTATCCCTAATGACATTCATTTGTGGGTCAGGAAGGCAAGCAGGGTTTGCCTGGGCAATTCTGTGATTCCACATGGCATCAAAGGAAGTCATGGAGGGGTATTTAGCAGGCAGACAGGATTTCCAGTGTGGAAATCCAAAACAGTTGCATTCACAACATGTCTGGAGCATGGACAGGGGTGTCTGGGAGGCTAGGTTCATCTGAACTATGCACCCTAAGTGCCTGCACCTATCCCCTCCATTGCACGGGGTCTCAGAGGAGTCAGACTATTTTACAAAGCAGCCCAGGCTCTGCCAGAGAGTGGTCCAAGAGAGGAGGTGAAGGCTGCCAGCCCGGGCCCAGAAACTGGCATCTTCTCACTATCACAGTCTATTGGTCAAACAGGCCCAGTGCCAACCCAGATTCAAGGAGAGAAGATGCAGATCTCACCTCTCAATAAAAGGAATAGCAAGGACCTTGTGCTCATCTCTTAGTTAGCACACCACCATTTCTTCATTAATGAGAAAGAAGTCAAAATGGTAGAACTCCCAACTTGATCTATAGATTCAAAGCAATCCCTAACAAAATCCCAGCAAGTTATTGTGTGAATATTGACAAGTTGATTCTATAGTTTATATGAAGAGGCAAATCACCCAGAATAGACAATCCAATAATGAAAGAGAAGAACAAAGTTGAAAGAGGGACACTAGCAGACTTCGAAACTTAACATAAAGCTACAGTAATCAAGACACAGTATGGGACTGGCAAAAGAATAGACAAACAGATCAATGGCACAGACTACTTCCCAGAAATAGACCCATAAAAATATAATCAAATGATCTTTGACAAAGGAGCAAAGGAACAGTAATGGAGAAAAGATAGTCTTTTCAACAAAGGATATGGAAACTAACAGACATCCGCATGAGAAAAAAAAGAATGCATCTAGAGACAGACCTCGCCACTTTCAGAAAAGTTAACTCATAAAGGACCATAGACATAA